GGGGGGGGAGGGGGGGTATGGGGGACCGGTTCAATGCCTGCGAGAAGAGTAAACGCTATTGTTATGTCAGGCAGTGCGCCGTCAACCCCAGTGCTTCCAATGCAATGTTCCTTATTTGCAAAATTGAACCTCGAAAGTTAGCTAGTAACAATCTGTTGGTATAGTGTAGCTGAAGTTACCCAACCAATAACTACTAGTTATTAATGGTTCATAATTTGTAATGGACAACTCTCGGAAAAGAGAATATGAAATCTGAATATCTTCCTGGTAATAAAAGAATACCTCGTTTTTATAATTCTAGGGTAACTCTCCTCTCGAAATCTCTCGGATGTTCGGATGGCAATCCACCAATGAGCTGGCTTTAAAAGCAGGTGAATAAAGTATTATTATTGGTTGGCTTTATTTGTCGTCATTTCCTGTCTCGTACCGAATGTCTTACAAGTTTTCGATAGAATTCTTTATGGCTGAGAAGCCCATGGTTATCAGTGTTTGTACCACTATTTGTTAGATTGAAAGGTGGATGAAAATACTCCGCAATTGAAGGCTAGAAACCCCCTCCCTTTTCGATAGACCCTTGCATGTGACATCAAAGCAACTCATTTTGAAGGACAAAACAAAAGAATTTCAATCTCATGAGAATTGGAAACCTATTCTTATGTCCTTCAAATGGACCCTTGTCAAAAGTATCGTGGATGCCAGGCTAACATGGATATACAAAAGAAATCAGACTTTTGACAATGGAGTCTGTGTTATTTCTTGGTATTTCTGTATTTTCATGTTCCTCGCATTGAAGACCGCATTGTAAGAGGGCTATGGAATATTTTGTTTTGGACTTCTTCATTTGGGTTAAGCCTTGTAACTATGTAATTTGATCACAAGAAGCATTGATGATGTGCTATGCTAACGCGCCACCTCTCAACGATGAGTGAGATGAGTGCACATCCTAGTTGTAAATCGCACTAATAAAAATTACGGAAAAAAAAAAAAAATGAGGAACTTTTTTTTATAGATATGGTCTGTGAGATGCCCCATTTCTCGCTAGCACCATTAGTCTCACAGTACGCCCATCAAGAGCAGTTAACTTATTCTTATTACCTACGTCATGGACGACCGTCATTTGCATTTGCTGCGTTTGTTGGCAGTCAGTTGGCAGAGCTTTCTGTTACTAGAGCAAGGTATGTAGGGTGACCCTCACGGTTTAAGCGAATAGCCCACTTCCGAGATATCCTTCGTTTTTCACGCACAAAGGATTCAATGTGAGGCTTCGTGTATATTGCTCAGTGATTAGTGACAGGAGAAAAGAATACATTTAATTTAGCACGTAGCCTTGTACTGAAACTTTTGCACTTGTAACGCGTGACAAGCGAAGCGTATGTAGGAAGTAGGCTATTGGCCCTTCTATTTCGGGCGTAATGTTTTCCCATTTCAGACCAGACATCATTTCCAAGAGTCTCATTTTTCTGTTTAACGGTTGCACATGTGAAGACACGTGAATATGGATGACGATTTGCAGCAATCGGTGTCTGTTCCATGCTGTATATCAAAAATACATTTTAGCTTGTCCGACGTAGCAACAGTAACTTTAGAAGTAGAACCATGAATGGAGCAATGATGCGGGATCGGTGTAATGAAGAATCGTATTCTCTAGAGAATGACACGTGGTCTGAAATGGGAAAGCATTACACCCGAACTGAAAAGATCTCTAGTTTTCTATAGTTTGTATCCCAGCTAGACCACAATGCACCCTGTTTATCGAACTCAGAAAAATTATCAACACGCGTTATAAATGACATCATGTTTATTCGTAGGATTTTTGCTGCTTCCAAGAAAGCCTACCGCGTAGCCATACAACATTTCACCGACACACAGATCACTACATCTTGTGTGGTGTTTACTGAAATGCTGGGAATAGACAGTACAGGGTTACGTGTTGATATCCAGGCAGCCAATAGGATCTTATCACATGCAGGTCGTGAATCACTCCAGGGTACGGATGGTAGGAATGGCCAGACATTAAAGGATAAAATAGGTAACACACTTGGTATTCACTTATTCCAAATGCAGGTTTTTGCTAGAGCAGTTTTGTATGAGTGAAAAGCAATATGGCAATTCGTAGCCGTACTGTTGTCGTAGCTTATTTTACCGTAGCTGTAACTACGCGTTGTGATTGGATGAAATACTGAAATACACGGGAACCCATTTACATGTAGATGTTTTCCACTCATACGACAACCATTCTTATGGTAAGCCATTTCAATGTTATGGCATGTCGCACCGCGTGTATGTGCTGTAAGCTTGTACTCTACTTTTCCACTTATAAAAACCGCATTATCCATGAAAATGTGTTCTGGGTCTTTGTTTTTCTAGCGTAAGAAATTTCCATTTTTCGTTTTCTTTTTTTGTTGTAGTTTCTGAGCTTATTTCTCGAGGGACGCGTCAGTTAACCACGTTCCTGTCTGCTTTAGAGGAAGCAACTCTGAACCTCATCAGTAAATATTGTTTAGAAAGGTAACCTTTTTTGCATCATTTACTATAGCACAATGACGTCACATGAACGCTAAGAATCGTGGTAGTGGCATGGTGACAACACAGCAACAACACAAAGAAAACTGTGAATAATTATGATTTTTTTTAGAACTTAGAAAAAAAATTATAGTCACGAAATACCGTATATATATATATATAGAGGGTATTACATGGGCGCGCGGGCGAACGAGTGAGATATCTAAATTGAACACGAGAAGATAAAATTCGTATCTCCAAGCGGCCATGTAATGTTCTGTTTATTATATAGATATCGGTGAAACTTAAATATAAAAAAAAGCTCAAAAATTCTTTATTAAAATACGTTACCATGTCAACAGCGATATCTTCACGTGTGAAAGATATGGTATCTTCCACTGGTGAAAGATATCAAGTTTTTGACACTAGAGAAAACCTGGTATTTCATCGATATCTATATAATAATGTAGAATAAACATAGGTTTATAAAATGTTGGAAAACAGGCATTAGAGCTAACGATATGGCTGTCATGTACAATTAGTCCAAAATTTTATTGTTCTTTATCACTTCTGCCTCCCTTATAAACAAGCTGTGACTTCATAGTGATAACTAGAGGATATTACATGGGCGCGCGGAGATACGAATTTTATCTTCGAGTGTTGAAAAGATCTC